CTGTATCAATAGAGTGAAAGCTAAAAACCACATGATCATCTCCATTGATGCAGAAAAGGCTTTTGACAAAGTCCAACACTCATTCATGTTCAAAGTCCTATAGAAAATTGGAATAGATGGCCTCTACATCAATCTGGTAAAAGCCATTTATAAAAACCCAACAGCTAACACTATCCTAAATGGGGAAAAACTGAAATCTTTTACTCTTAGATCGGGTACAAGACAAGGATGTCCTCCATCACCACTTCTATTCAATATAGATCTGGAATCATTGGCTACAGCCATTAGATAAGAGAAAGAAATAATAATAGGTAAAGAAGTTAAATTAGCTTTATTTTCAGATGACATGATGCTTTACTTGGAAGATCCAAAAAACTCCACCAGGAAGCTACTAGAATTAATACAGAAATTCAGTAGCATAGCAGGTTATAAAGTCAAAGCCCAAAAGTCAATAGCATTCTTCTACACAGACAACAAACACACTGAGAGGGAATTTATAGAAACAATACCCTTTACAATAGCACCAAGGAAAATGAAATACCTTGGAATTAATTGAACTAAAGAAGTCAAAGATCTTTTCAAGGAAAATTACAGTACTCTGAAAAAAAAGATCACAGAGGATTTCAATAAATGGAAAGATAATTTTTTCATGCTCCTCGATAGGAAGAAACAACATTGTGAAGATCGCCATACTCCCAAAATTGCTGTACAGATATAATGCAATTCCTATCAGACTATGACCAACATACCTCACAGAGGTTGAGAAATCACTCCTAAAATTTATCTGGAACCAGAAAAGACCTAAAATAGCAAAGACAATCCTGGGCAATAAAGACAAGGCAGGAGGCATTACAATTCCTGACTTGAAATATACTACAAGGCTACTGTGATAAAATCAGCATGGTACTGGCAATAAAATAGACCTGAGGATCAATGGAACAGATTAGAAGATGCTGAAGTACCTATGAACACATTCAGCCACCTTATCTTTGATACTCACTGGAAGAAAGATAGCCTCTGTAACAAATGGTGCTGGAAAAACTGGCTCTCCACATGCTGAAACTCAAACTTGACACAGATCTATCACCATGCACTAAACTAAAGTCAAAATGGATTAAAGATGTAAACATTAAAGTAGAGACAGTAAATCTCCTGGAAGAGGAACTCTTGAAGACATAGGGGTAGGCAAAAACTTCATGAACAGAAATCAAGTCTCATGGAAAACAGTTGAAAGAGTTAACAACTGGGACCTGCTCTTACTGAGAAGTTTTTTCATGTCAAAAGAAGTTAAAAACAAAGTGAAAAGGCAACCTACAAATTTGGAAAAAATCATGACAAATAAGTACTCAGACAAAGGTCTGCTCTCTAGAATTTATAAAGAACTAAGAAACACTAGGGCCCCAAAATTTAAAGACCTAATCCAGAAATGGGCATCCGAGATGAACACGCTTCTCAGAGGATGAAATTAAAGAATCGAATAAAAATATGAACAAATGCTCCACATCACTATCCATCTGTGAAATGCAAATTAAAACAACATTGAGATATCATCTCACCCCAGAAAGGATGGCTATCATAAAGAAATCACCCAAAAACAAATGTTGGAGAGGCTGTGGGGGAAAAGGAACCCTTCTCCACTGCTGGTAGGTATGTAGACTGGAGACTGGTGCAACCATTATGGAAATCAGTGTGGAGACTCCTTAGAAAAGTTAAACTGGAAATCCCATTTAAACCAGCTATTCCTCTACTGGGAATTTTCCCAGAGGATCTGAAAACAT